AGTGCTGCTCAGGTCTCCCATGTCCTTACTGATTTTCTGTCTACTTTTGTTGATTACTGAGATAGGAATGTTGAAGTCACCAGCTATAATTGTGGATTTGTTTATTTCTCCTTTCAGTTTTCAGTTTTTGCTTCAGGTATTTTGCAGCTCTGCTGTTAGGTGTTTACACATTTTACATTGTTATTTTTTTGGTGAATTGACCCATTTAGCATTACATACTGCCCCTCTCTTTATTCCTGGTAATTAATACTCCTTGTTTTGAAATGTCTAATACTAATATAGCCACTCTGGCTTTCTTTGATTAGTGTTTACATGATGTGTGTTTTTCCATCCTTATACTCTCTACTTCTCTGTCTTTATCGTTAAAATGGGCTTCTTATAGATAGCAAATAGTTGCATCTTGCTCTCTCTAGTGTGACGGTCTCTGCTTTCTAACAAGAATATTCAGTCCTTTTACATTTAATGTTTACATTTAATGTGATTTTTGACATGGTTGAGTTTGGATTGGCAGTTTAGCTATTTTTTTCTCTTTGTTTCACTTGACTGTGCCTTCTGTTTTTTAGTGTTCTATTTTAATTCCTTTGTTTACTTTTTAGCTGTATCTCTTTGCTTTACTTTTTAAATTGAGGTGTAATTAACCAACAGTAAAGTACAATATATTTTTGAATGTTTGCTCTATTGATTATAATATGTATCTTGAATTTATGACATCTACTTAAAGTTTATAGTCATGTTAAATACGGGAACTTTTCAACAGTATAGTGTCACTATTTCCTTGTCCTTTTGCTATTACCATAATATATAATAACTCTACATATATTATAACTCTCACAATTGTAATTTTATAATTTTAGTTTTAAACAGTTAATGTCTCTAAAGAAATGAAAAGAAGAAAAGAAATATGTGTGTAATTGTGTTGAAGGTCTCCAAACCACCCCAGGTTTGGTGATTTGCTGGAAGGACTCATAGGACTCAGCATGTAGTTGTACTCACAGCTAAGATTTATTACAGTGAAAGGATACATATCAAGCACAATCAGTAAAAAGAAATGGCTCCTGGAGCAAAAACTGAAGGAAACCGGACACAAGCTTCTGATTAAATAAAATGTGTATTTTAAGGCAGGACAAGAAAATTTAAACATAAGGTTCTGTCTCTGTGTCCGTTTGGGCCTCCTCCCTCCCTCCTCGTGTGCATCTGAATTACACATTAACCAGACCTCCTCAAAGATGGGAATGCCTGCTGGATCATAAAGATCAATTTTTTTCCCTTTCTTCTGGCACTAGCAATGTAATTTCTTAAAAGAATACCATTCTTTCCCAACTCTGTAGCGGGCCGTAGTGACTTACTGTTCTCTTTGCCTTTGTACGTGCTTACCTGGACTATATATCTTTGGTGAACTTTATGTAAAATATCAGTATGTCACTTTGATGTATGATTCTTTGTCTTGAGAATGTATATGACTGTGCCTTTGACTTCTAATGGGCATAACAGTTCTCAGAACTTCTGAGAGTCTATCTCCCAGATTATAATCCTCAGTTTGGCCCAAATTAAATACCCTTTTCTCTTCTTAACTTGATTGTTAGTTGAATTCTTGTTGACATTTCCAAGAATCCTCTCCTAGTGGAGCCACATAGGACATGCTTAATCCGTTTAGCAGTAACTTGTAAGAACAAGTACAAATTGTTGTCTACAGGGAAGCTCGTCTGAGTCTAGGAGTCCAGGGTTTTTACTGGAGATGGTTCATGTAGGCACAATTTCAGTCACTAACATTCCTGACTCTGAGAAGTAAACAGATGTTCAGCATAAACTGTATTATTTCTGTTAACAGTTTGGGCACAGTGAGACTGCCTTATTGCTTAGGGAAGTTTTATGTCAGTGTAGGGACAGTTTACCATTCAAATTCTGGGACCAGTGAAAGGTCAAACTTGCAAGCAGGTCTTTCTAAAGATAGTAGTCTTAGGCCTGCTATGTTAACTGTTTTCTACACAATAGACTTTTGTATTTACTTATCTAACATTTCCACTTGTCCACATTCCTTCCTACAGATCTTGTATATACTGAATGTGTTCCCTCAAAATTCATATGTTGAAAGGCTAACTCTCAATATAATGGTTAGGAGATGGGGTCTTTGGTAGATGATTAGGTCATGAAAGAGCTCCTTGCCCCTTCTGCCAGAGGATACAACCAGACTATGGCCTTAAGAAACAAGAAGCGGGCCTTCACCAGGCACCCAGTCTTCTGGCGCCTTGATCTTGGACTTGTCAGCCTCCAGAACTGTGAGAAGTAAATTTCTGTTGTTTGTTAGCCACCCAGTTTATGGTATTCTGTTATAGAAGCCTGAACTAAGACAAGATCCAAGTTACCCTCTAGTGTCATTTCCATTACCATGAAGAACTTCCTTTAGTGTTTCGTGTAGTGGAGGTCTGCTGGTGATGAATTCTCTCAATTTTTGTTTATCTGAAATATCTTTATTTCCTCTTCCTTTTTGAAGGGTAGTTTCATTGGAGATACACTTCAGTATTGAATATCTTTCTTTTAGTGCTTTAACTATTTGTTCCATTGTCTTCTCATCTTCATTTTTTTAAATTAAAGACTATTATTTATTTATTTATTTTGGCTGTGTTGGGTCTTCGTTGCTGCGCGCGGGCTTTCTGTAGTTGTGGCGAGTGGGGGCTACTCTTCATTGAGGTGCGCAGGCTTCTCATTGCGGTGGCTTCTCTTGTTGTGGAGCAGGGGTTCTAGGCACATGGGCTTCAGTAGTTGTGGCATGTGGGTTCAGTAGTTGTGGCTTGCAGGCTCTAGAGTGCACGCTCAGTAGTTGTGGCTTACAGACTTAGTTGCTCCACAGCATGTGGGATCTTCCTGGACCAGGGCTCGAACCTGTGTCCCCTGCATTGGCAGGCAGATTCTTAATGACTGCACCACCAGGGAAGCCCTTAAAGACTATTTTTTAAAAGCAGTTTTAGATTCACTGCAAAATTGTGAAGAAGGTACAGAGATTTCCCAAATACTCTGTTCCTCCTCACATGCATAGGCTCCCCTATTATCAACATCACCAACCAGAGTGGTACGTTTGTTATAATTGATGAAACTATATTGACATATCATAGTCACCCAAAGTCCATAGTTTACATTAGGATTTACTCTTTGTGTTGTACATTCTATGTGTTTGGACAAATGTATAACGACATGTAGCCATCATTACAGTATCATACAGGGTAGGTCCACTGCCCTCAAAATCCTCTGCTCTATTAATCCCTCACCCCTCTATCCCTGGCAAACACTGATCTTTTTACTGTGTCCATAGTTTTGCCTTTTCCAGAATGTCATATAGTTGGAATCATATAGTATGTAACCTTTTCAGATTGGCTTATTTCACTTACTGATATGCATTTAAGGTTTCTCCATGTCTTTTCCTGGCTTAATAGCTCATCTTTTTAGCTCTGAATAATATTCCATTGTCTGGATGTACCACTGTTTATTTATCCACTCACCTCTTGAAGAACATCCTGGCTGCTTCTAAGTTGTAACAATTATGAATAAAGCTGCTATAAACATCCATGAACAGGTTTTTGTTTGGATATAAGTTTGTAACTCATTTGTGTAAATACCAAAGAGCATGATTGCTGCGTGGTTATGGTAAAAGTATGTTTAGTTTTGTAAGAAACTGCCAAACTGTCTTCCAAGGTAGCTGTACATTTTGCATTCCCACCAGCAATGAATGAGGGTTCTGTTGCTCCACATCCTTGGCAGCATTTGGTATAGTATGTGTTCCAGATTTGGGCCATTCTAATAGGTGTATAGTGATATTTTGTTGTTTTAATTTGCATTTCCCTGATGACATATAATGTGAAACGTCTCTTTGTATGTTTATTGGCCGTCTATATACCTTCTTTGGTGAGGTGTCTGTTAAGGTTTTTGGCCCATGTTTTACTTGGATTGTTCATTTTCTTTTTCTTTCTTTTGGCCGCGCTGGGCATGGCATGTGGGATCTTAGTTCCCCGAAAAGGGATCGAACCCGGGCCCTCTGCTTTGGAAGCGCAGAGTCTTAACCACTGGACCGCCAGGGAAGTCTCTCATTTTCTTACTGTTGAGTTTTAAGAGTTCTTTGTATATTTTGGATAATAGTCCTTTATCAGATTTGTCTTTTGCAGATATTTTCTCCCAGTCTATGGCTTGTCTTCTTATTCTCTTGATGTTAACCCTCATTGAGCAGAAGTTTTTAATTTTAATAAAGTTGAAATTATCAGTTATTTCATTCATGGATCGTACCTTTAGTGTTATATCTAAAAAGTCATCACTATATCCAAGGACATCTGGTTTTTCTCCTATGGTATCTTCTAAGAGTTTTATATAGTTTTGTGTTTTACATTTTAGGTCTATAATCCATTTTGAGTTAATTTTTCTGAAAGATGTAAGGTCTGTCTCCAAATTCATTTTTTTTTCCCATGTGAATATCCAGTTGTTCCAGCACCATTTGTTGAAAAGACCATCTTTGTTCCATTGTATTGCTTTTTTTCCTTTGTCAAAGATCTGTTGAATGTATTTATGTGGGCCTATTTCTGGGCTCTCTATTCTGTTCCATTGGTCTATTTGTTTCTTCTTTTGCCAGTACCACACTGTCTTGATAATGTAACTTTATAGTAAATCTTGAAGTCAGGTAGTGTCAGTCCTCCAACTTTGTTTTTTTCTTCAACATTTTGTTGGCTATTCTTGGTCTTTTGCCATCTATATAAACTTTGGAATTAGTTTGTTGATATGCACAACATAACTTGCTGGGATTTTGACTGGGATTGCATTGAATCTATAGATGAAGTTGGGAAGAACTGACATCTTGATAATATTGAGTCTTCCTATCCATGAGCATGAACTGTCTCTCAGTTTATTTAGTTCTTGTATTTTTTCTGGGTATTACACTTGAAATTTAGTTTACTAATTTTAAGTTGGGACCTCAATTAACTAATCTATACATTTTTTTCAAATCTGTTCCTTTTTTTCAGGTCATAAATAAGGTCCATCTTAAGGCAAATCATATTATAAAGAGGGATGTTAATGAACATTTAAGAATCAAGACTGTCTACGATAAAAGTATTGAAGAGTAAGTACATCATTATTTGTCATCTTTTTTTTTTTTTTTTTTTTTTTTTGCAGTACGCAAGCCTCTCACTGTTGTGGCCTCTCCCTTTGCGGAGCACAGGCTCCAGACGTTTAGGCCCAGCGGCCATGGCTCACGGGCCCAGCCGCCCCGCGGCATGTGGGATCCTCCCGGACCGGGGCATGAACCCGTGTCCCCTGCATCGGCAGGCGGACTCCCAACCACTGCGCCACCAGGGAAGCCCTTGTCATCTTTTTTTATTAAGAATCAAACTGTTGAAAATATTTTCATCTGTTACCTGGAGTTCCATAAATGGAAGTAGATGCTAGTGTACCCTCAAAATGGAATTAAGCTAAATATGCTTTTTAGTTTAGAAAGATGAAGGCCATGGGATATGATTTAAATCTATACATCATGAATAATTTAAGCACACCAGTGTGGTCAATAACAGACCTGGAGGGCACTTAAGTACTTGGAGGAACAATAAGACAAAATACTAATATATACAATAGTAAGAACATTTACAAAATTATTAACCAGAGAGATGATATAGCCTAATTTTTAATTTAGAGTAAGAGGGTGTCCAGAAAAGAGATAAATTATGAATCTGTAGTAGTTTATGAAGAGCTATTGGGAGTAGGTGATGTCTTTCCCTATCTTTAACTTCCCAAATGAATGAGACAGTATGTGATCAACTCTTAAATGCTCATTGAGATTTAGAGGGACTGATATGGCATGCTTCCACAAAGCATTCCTTGGGACTCCTGCCAGTTGCATTCTGAACAAAAATGAGATAGTGGTTTGCCCTCAGCATGGCAATCTTTATGTTTTATGTCATCATTTTCAGGTTGCTCCCTGAGAAAAGACATCTTGTAAAGGTATGTAATAAATACTCATAGCTTGAATTGGACACTTAAAATGGTGCATTTTATTGTATGTAAATTTTACTTCAGTAATGAAAAACATACACATGACTATTCTGTGAATGACTGAATAAAAGGTGTTGGTAGTGAATGTATTTCTATTATCACCAAGGTGTTTTTATGATGCACTCACCAAAACTTTGTTCATATTTGATATTAAGTTAGTCTTCTCATTTTATAATTTGATATTAAATCATTCTCATATTTTTACTTGTCCTCTTAAGTTTTAGGGGAGCAGAGCATGCTTCGGATAGGATGAAAAAGACGATGTTTTAAAAACATTGAGAACACTATTCTCTTGGTGGAAATGCTCATTCTCATGAAGATTAATTGGCCTGATAGTATGAAATGCCAAGGTCATTTATAGAGGTGCTAGCCTCATAAGTTTTTTAACTGTTACAGAGGCACACACACACATTAAGCCACTTCATTATGGGTCACAGAAATGGGTGAGGCTAAAGTAGATCTTCTAAATATACGATTTTCTTAACATAAACTACCTTCATGTTGGAGTAATCTAAATCGGTCTCAAATTTAAAGTAATATTAATAGTTGTGATTTATGTTTTATAATATTCTATTTAAATGGGGTAGGGAAGGAACTTTCTGGTGTTCTTTCCTCCAAACTAAACTAGTAAATGAGGAAATTCCTTCGCACCTAGACTCAATGTTTCCCTAGCCCTAGTCACACAACCTTTGACTAGTACCTATGTTCCAGAATTATAAGGCTTTTTCCTTCTTTCCCCTTAGTCATTAATATCCTATGCTTACTTGTTTTAAATATAGTTTATCTTTTAGCTGTAATTCTGACTGGTTTTTTTTCCAACTTTTATTTAGACCAAACTTTTTCCACAAGCTGTTTCTTATTTAGAGAAGACTTTTCAGGTTCGTAGACCTGCGGGCACCATATTACTTAGTAGGTATGTCACATTACACACAGTTCATTTTCTTCAGTTATTTAGTACTCTGCCCACCCCACTCTGTCAGTATGGCAAATTGTGAGTTTTATGCTGGAGTATTTTATTATGCTGGTTCCTGGAGACCAAACTGTAAGATATTTAAAAAGAATAAAAGAGCATCTGTTGGGTAATCATTCTTTCCCCGATTTTCCATTATGAGGTGACCCACTGGATCTTTTCCTTGGGTATAGCTTGTACCCTTTTTCCCATATCCCCTTCCTTCATGTGTACAGTATTGGCTTTTTCCCATATCCCCTTCCTTCATGTGTACAGTATTGGCTTTTGAAGTATTTGAGTGTTTGAAAACCCAGATCAGAAGGATTTGCCATGGAACCAAAATTCTTTATTAGACTACTTTTCTAACTAAAATAATAACTATTATAAATGAAATAAATATAGCAGCTACTAGTTTTTTACAATGTTTTAACTGCTGTGAACTCATCTTTATTTTTTTTTTGTAATTAAACTTTGATGTATGAATGAACTGAAGACAATGTGCAACAAACCAATACCAATACCTACGGAAGGAAAATGATCACCATAGATGCTGCACTGGGGAATGTGCAGAGCATACAAGATGTGGCCCCGTTATAGTGCCTGAGGAGCACCTCCAGGTATTTCACCCTGCTCTTAGCAATGTTCTTATTCTTTAGGATAAACTTACGACAGATTTTCAATCTGTGATTGTCACTAAGAAGATTTTACAGACTTAAGTTCAAAAGTTTCATTCTCTACCAAAAGTAATCACAGTTAGGTGTGCTGATTTTATTCTTTTATTGGTTTTCAAGTGAATTTAATTATTTTTTTCTTTTTTCAATTTATCTCTGAGGTTGCTGAATCGTTTCTGCTTAGGACTTTATCTTTGCCCTCCAAAACATCTTTTAGCAGCTATATACCTCAGAATTTTTAAAGGGCAATTTAACATTATCTCTTCAAATAAAAATAATGTGTATGCTTTAACCCAACCTGGAAACGTATTCCATAAAAATACTTATAGCTATGTAATATATGTTCAAGGATATTCTTTGCAAAACTATAAATATGCCTATATTAATATTACTTAAGTTATGGCATAACCACATAATGGAGCACTACACAGCTGTTAAAGAATGAAGTAGAAGGACTTCCCTGGTGGTCCAGCGGGTAAGACTCTTTGCTCCCAATGCACGGGGCCCAGGTTCAATCCCTGGTTGGGGAACTAGATCCCACATGCATGCTGCAACTAAGAGTCTGCATGCCACAACTAAGATCCGGTGCAGCCAAAATAAATGAACAATATTAAAAAAAAAAAAGAACAAAATGATCTTTATATACTGATTTGGAAAGATAGTTAAGCTTTTAAATGGAAAAAAAAGTTGTAAATCAGTATGGGTAGTTAGTCTATTTCATTTAAAAATTAAAAATTATCATCAATTATTCAGCTTTCAATAAAGCTGAAATAAAAGCATAAAAAATAAGTGTATACACACATATAAAAAATTATGAAGTAATCTGGAGGTATACATATATTAAAAAATCTGGAGACACATATAAAATTTTAATGGTTTTCATTGAGTTGGATTATGGGGGGCTTTTATTTGTTAACTTATACATTTTTGTAATGTTTTGATTTTTCATATTAAGCATCTATTATTTGTATCAGAAAAAATATAAAAAGTTTAAATGTGTAAGCCAGAAAGCCAATTTATTTATACCTATATTTTGGAAAATATGATTATTGCTTTAGCTGCTTTTCTCTATTGAGCTGTATTCTCTCATTACTTTTAGAAAATGAATACATTATTAAACATTGACTTTGTAAGCAAAATTAAGCATATAGTTGAAGTTTACTTTATAATTGTTTTCTCAGAGTATTTGAAGCTCACCAAAGGCTTTTAGAACCCTGTATATTGGCACTAATACAGCTAACTTACTCAGCTTCCATTTCTTTTATCAAATTTCTTGAAAGCATAGAGGGTTTTGGGAACATGTTTAAAAATTGAAACAACCTGTTAATTACATATTTATCTCTTTTCTTGAGACATTTAGAGATATTTCCTAGACATTTTAAGGCATATTTCTTTGCTTTTTTCCTAAGGTATTTTTGTTTTTAATTCTTTTGGCTTTTTCAAATTCTGCTTTCTACTTATCTTCTTGGGGGTCCTGATTTTTTTTTTTTAAATAAATGAGAGATCATGTAAAGAATGCTATTAAATCACAGCTTTTCTTAATATCAACTATTAACAGATTAAAGTAATTGAATTTTAAAATTATAAATACATGTGTTAGAGAAGCAAGAGTAAACAATGTAATGAAATGAGAATTTCTGTCTTTTCTCTCTCTACAAGCATCACCTATGCCTTAAAAAAAACACCATTTACTGATTTTCCTATTTATAATTTGGAGATTATGATTGTTTAGGAACTTTGATAGAAGAAGTTCTCTAAAAAATGTATGTTAAAAGGGCAAAGTTTGCTTAGAAAACTAGAAACAAAGGTAATATTACAAGATGACTTTAACTTTTTACCTTATATACTTTTGTATTATCTGAATTTTTAACAAGATACATGAATTACTTATAATAGGAAAATACTTCCAGTAATAAAGTTTTTTATTAATTAGTTTTGAAGTAACTATAGATTCACGGGAAATTGCTAAAAAAAATGTGTACAAGAAGGCCCCTTGTAATTTTCACCTAGTTTCAGGGTTTAATAAAACCTTTTCTGTTGCTGTCTTTTTTGTACCCTGGTTGCATGCCCTTTATAAATAGCAATTGTTTGTTTTAATTAATATTATACATTTATGATTATAGTATATAAAGTAGAAATTTTAATAAAATAAATTTAAAATTAGAGATAGGAATTGAGTAGAGAGAGGTATGGATTTTGATAAAAGCTGAAGGATAATAAATAAAAATTAAATCATACATATTTAGAGTCTGGATTCTTTATAAATTAAAAGTCCTGATAGCTAACCTCATCTCTGGTCTGTTTTTCCGTTGTTGTCCCCCATGGTCATAGCAATGCAGAGTCTGCTGTGGGGGTAAGTGGCCCTGTGGAGCAGTGGGTGTGCCAGACCAAGAGGGAGTCCGGGATGCAGACTTTGTTCTTTATGTTGGTGCTCTGGCCACTGAGAGGTGCAGCCATGAAAACATCATCTCTTATGCAGCCTATTGTCAGCAGGAAGCAAAAATGGACAGGTAAACTTTCCCCTGAGACTTATTTCCCAAGATCTAAAATAAGAACTCTTAAACCATATTCTAAGTGTTGAGAGTACAAGAAGTTTGCATTTGCGAGATTACCTCCAGTAGTAAGAAATGGCATACTGCCTGGATTGGGGTGTGGTGAGGGAACCAGGTTATACAACTGCTATGCATATGGTAATATAAGTACCAATTCCAAAGGAAAAGTCTACTGTCAATAGAATTTTCTTTGAAAGTGATGACACCTCTCTAAGGAAACAATTTGAACTTTAATTTTAGCACTTCTGTGCTGAATTGTAAGATGTTCAAAATAACTGTTCATCTAATTGTCATATGATTATGTCCTTCACTTAGCTTAATTGTCTCTAAAAAATTTAGAGTCCCGGAACTTCCCTGGCGGTCCAGTGGTTAAGTCTCCACATTTCCACTGCAGGAGGAACCACTTCAGTCTCCGGTTGGACTAAGCTCCCACATGTTGCTTGGCCAAAAAAAAAAAGACTCTTCTCTTTTTTTTTTTTTTTTTTGCGGTACGCAGGCCTCTCACTGTTGTGGCCTCTCCCGTTGCGGAGCACAGGCTCCGGACACGCAGGCTCAGTGGCCATGGCTCACGGGCCTAGCCACTCCCTCTTTTTTATTTAAAAAATATTTCAAAAATTTTTTCTCAGTGAAGCAGCCTTGAAATAAAATTGTTATGCATACAGAAGATTGCCTGTTACACACCAGACAAATCAGTTAAAGGCAGTAGAAACTGGTATGTCTCAGTATAGTTTGTATGTGACGTTCTCAAATCTAGGAGAATTAATGTGACCACATTCAATGGTCCAGTGAATGTAAGGACCGTTGCTGAGTTCCTGAACATTCATCTACCTATCAAAATACTAGCTGACTTTAAAGAGCTGTTTCACTTCTATTGATAGCTAATTAATTTAAGGAAAAAATGAAATTATTAGTAGGACCAAGTAGCCAATACAAAGGAAACACTAATATATGCTTCAGAATTATACTGTCAATACTGAAGGTGGTAAGGAGGTCAAAATCAGCATCATGGATTATGAAAGCAGTCTGTTAGCATGTTACTATATAATTATTGATCCATGAAATTAACTCAAAAATCTTTAGCTTCTGAATGTTGAGAATGCATCGAGTCAAATATTTAATATATTACTGAAGAAGGAAGTGCTATGTGGTTTTGAAGATGTATATGTACTATTGTTTAGTAAAAAGAATATATGTATTTAATAGATTGTTCCTCTTTTCCTGAGAAGCTGTCATTAAATTTATGATATTTTATAATTACTGGTGTCTCAATATCAAGGAAATATGGTATTTGAAGTGCTAAATGAATGACAAGTTACTTGATAAAATGAGATACTTCTTAAAGTAGGTGTCTTTGAGAAATATACCTTCATAATAGCAGTGCTGCAAAATCATGGCTCTTTATCTTAATTTGACCTAAACCATATGGATTGTGCACACACACAACCTCATTTTTAATATACTGTTGAGTGTCAGAAGAACATTGCAAAACAGTGTACATAATACGATTTCATACTTGTTTTAAAAATCTGCGTATGGGGCTTCCCTGGTGGCGCAGTGGTTGTGAGTATGCCTGCCGATGCAGGGAACACGGGTTCGTGCCCCGGTCCGGGAGGATCCCACATGCCGCGGAGCAGCTGGGCCCGTGAGCCATGGCAGCTGAGCCTGCGCGTCCCGAGCCTGTGCTCTGCAACGGGAGAGGCCACAGCAGTGAGAGGCCCGCGTACGGCAAAAAACAAAAAAAAAACAAACAAAAATTCTGTGTATGGACTTGAATGTGCTAAGGTAAAAGTCAAAAATAATTAGGATTACCCACTATCCCAATTTTTTCGGGAGTACCCTTGGTTTAGCCCTGAAAGTCCCATATCTCGGGAAATCCCTTAGTCCTAGGCAAACCAGGATGGCTGGTCACTTTAAAAAATAAAGCACCCCAATTGTTGATAGCAGTTACCTGTGATAGTGGAATTTAGTGGTGGTAGTTTGTAAAATAGGGAATTTTTACTTTTTTCTTCATACATTTCAATATGTTTGGATATATAGCTTTTTCCAATGAGCTTTTATTACTTTTTTAAACAAAAGACATGTTAAAGTGAACCTTATGTATTAGGAACAAAATGGCTTCCCTGGGGAAGTAGGGAGAGGGATATAAAATCCCATGCTGAGATGGGTCTGGATTAGTTCAGCTCCTTTCAGCATCTGATAATACTGAAGGTACTTAAAGTATCTAATTGTCTTTTGGGGAGAGAATCCAACATAGGAGTTATCACATAGATGAGAATCCCATAGCCCAGAGATGCATCTCACTTTCATTTCACTGCTATTATATTTCTTTAAGGCACTTGAACATTTGGTTCACTTTAGGTATGAATGACTAGCTGAAAGAATAAATGTTCCTCGTGTCAGTGAATCTGAAGCTACTCATGTATGTATTCTCATACATGGGGAAAATTTTGGTTGCTTATGAGGAGAATGTTGATGTTAGAAGAGCAATATCTTAAGTTGTTCTTTTTGAATCTTTGATAGAAGTGAAACTTTCCTTCAAAACTGCTATATTGCGTTAATTCATTCCATAAATATTTGAGCGCTTAATATGTTGCCAGCAGACTAGGTGAACAAAATAGACACGTGTACCTGTCTCATGGAACTTACAAATTACAGAGGGAGTCAGATGTTAGTTAAATACTGATACAAATAGACATGTGACTTCAAATATGATAAATACTTTGTAGAAAAAGACAGGGTGTTGCAACATAAAAGAGAACAAAAGGGGGAAACATAATTTAGATCAACTGGGCAAAAAAGGCCTCTTTGAAAAAGTGAAACTTTAGATATAACCTGAAAATCGATAGGCTTCAGCCAAATAAAGAGCTGGAGAAAGAGCTTAAGTTAGGAAAATGCTGTGTCTACCTGTTGCTCTTAGAAGCCACTCCAGTGGAAACTGTGCTTGAGGATGAGAGCTTTAGGGGATGCATTGGAGGGAGAAGTAGACAGGTCTGTTTCATTCTAAATGCAGTAGGGGGCTTCCCTGGTGGCGCAGTGGTTGGGAGTCTGCCTGCCGATGCAGGGGACGCGGGTTCGTGCCCTGGTCCGGGAGGGTCCCATGTGCCGCGGAGCGGCTGGGCCCGTGAGCCATGGCCACTGAGCCTGCGCGTCCGGAGCCTGTGCTCCGCGGCGGGAGAGGCCACAGCGGTGAGAGGCCCACATACCGTGGAAAAAATAAAAATAAAAAAAATAATAAATGCAGTAGGAAGTCCCTGACAGGGTTTAAGCCTGATAGTGACGTTTATTTTATATCTTAGAGGTCACCGTGGCAATATTTTGGTGAGTGAATTATACTCATCCTTTTCTAAGTGCAAATCTGTTGTTTTCAAGTATGAAGAAAGTGCACTGTATGTTTTTTTAACTAAATAAGGCAAATGTTACTCTGTAAATAGGCCATCACCATTTGGGGAGGTTTGTGGTATTTCTATAGTAAAATGTTGAGGTAGTGTTGGGAGAAATACCTTGGTGTTCCTTACTGTTTGTCACAGCTTTTGAAAGGCAGGTGGGTGCGTGGTGAAACTGATTGAATTACTGTGGGTCCTCGTGAGCTCTTGGACTCTCAAGTTCTAGGCTCAGAAAGAGATATAGAATTCTGTAGATTCTAGAAGGTATAGAATACTGTATGAAAGAAGATAATAGGAAGATAAAAAACTTTATGTTGGGCTTCCCTGGTGGCAGTGGTTAAGAATCCACCTGCCAATGCAGGGGACATGAGTTCGAGCCCTGGTCCGGGAAGATCCCACATGCCGCAGAGCGACTAAAACCATGCGCCACAACTACTGAGCCTGCGCTCTAGAGCCCACGAGCCACAACTACTGAAGCCCGTGCGCCTAGAGCCCGTGCTCTGCAACAAGAGAAGCCACTGCAGTGAGAAGCCTGGGCACTGCAGCGAAGAGTAACCCCTGCTCACGACACTAGAAGAAAGCCCATGTGCAGCAACAAAGACCCAACACAGCCAAAAATAAATAAATTTTAAAAAAATTTATGTTAATGAAGGCATTATTGGGACAGGAGAAAGGAGATAGTGAAATGGAAATCAGAAGGTTCAGCAACTTGCAGCAACCTGAATGATTTGCTTATTGTCCTCTTTTGTACCTACTTTTCCTCTCTACCTACTTGTCTGTCCCTGTGCCTATATATATATAGTGAAATGCTGAAGTCAGAAATGAATTTTGCAAGAAAAATAGTGTTATAATTTAAATTTTTTAGTTCATTCCCTTTTTGGGTACATATTGACATACTTTACAAATCCACACTGAAGTATAATTAACTGACTCTGTCCTCTTGAGGGAACAGCTGCTGATTAGCCATGTCATAGGAGAACACAGGTATATGTCTTGAAAGTAAAAGATAGTGAAAGTTAGATGTTATGTTGTAAAATGACATTTGATATTTCACAAAGATTTTTCTGACCTTGATCAGTTTTTGATAGAAAAATATAGGTTAATAAGTATAATACATATTGTCCTGGAATATAATTAAAAATTTAATGTCTGTTTTAACAGGCCAATTGCAGGATATGCTAACCTGTGTCCAAATATGATCTCTACCCAGCCTCAGGAGTTTGTTGGGATGCTGTCTACAGTGAAACATGAGATTATTCATGCCCTGGTAAATTTTGCTGTTAACTATTGTTCTCTCCTTCATGCCTTGATTTTCTGATTATACTCTCATTTTGATGTATATGTTAAAATTTAAGATTTTGTGGCTTCTTAGATCGTGTTCAGTAAAACCTAGTTGAATAGGCCTCTGCCAGTAGACAATTTTTAATGATTAGGATAGCAGCTCGGTTGACTTATACTACCTAAAATAATGAAACAAGTAAATCCATTGGGCAAATAGGAGTTTTGAAAAAATGATTAAGCTTCTTAAGAAGAAACTTAGTAATTAAAAAAAATTCACTTTCATCTAAAATGATAGCTGATATGCTAATTATAGATCTTTCTTATCTCTTACAGAGATCTCATTTCTAAAAGTGTCCTTGGTCTATTTAGACTTTCTGAATTTTATATATATTAACTGATTCAGAACTTTGCTTTTCCCCAATTGGTCCAAAGTAGTAAACTTTTACAGTATGTCTGGGGAATTAAATAAAGTTGCCTAAAATCTAGGAAATGTCCTCCTGATGTCATTCATGTGTTTAGAAAATAGATGGGAGTAAAATGCAGTGATTAAGAGAGAGAATGGGACTTCCCTGGTGGTGCAGTGGTTAAGAATCTGCCTGCCAGTGCAGGGGACACAGGTTCAATCCCTGGTCTGGGAAGATCCCACATGCCACGGAGCAACTAAGCCTGTGCACCACAACTACTGAGCCTGTGCCCTAGAGCCCGTGAGCCACAACTACTGAGCCCACATGCCACAACTACTGAAGCCCACGTGCCTAGAGCAGGTGCTCCACAACAAGATAAGCCACCACAATGAGAAGCCTGCACACCCCAACGAAGAGTAGCCCCCGCTCACCGCAACTAGAGAAAGCCCCCATGCAGCAACGAAGACCCAACGCAGCCAAAAATAAATAAATAAATTTATAAAAAACAAAAATTTTTTAAAAAATGGTAGCATCCACTATAGAGTACATTATTTAAAAAAAGAGAGAGGGAGAGAATGGATCACACAGATCTAGGTGTGAATCTCCTTAGCTTTACTGCTAAAAATCTTTGGGATCTATTACAAATTATTTAGCCTTTGTAAGCCTCTGTTTCATCTATAAAATGAATATAGTAGTACATACTACAGTGGATTTTTTTCTTGAAGATTAAATAAGATGAAACATAAATGGCTTAGCACCATGCTCTACATAGTAAGGTATAATAAAATTAGTGACTATCATTTATTAGTCTTATTTCGTGAGCTATTATGTATGACCTCAGTCTTTAAATCAGCAAATACCTTGGATAATTCAGTGAAACTCTAGTGTATCCAGATAGCACTTCTGGTCTTCAAGTAAGGAGATTCTAAAATGAATCATCTCTTTTCCTTTTATTAAAAAAGTAAGTCAAACCTGCTATTGTGATGAAAGACAAGCATCATTCTAAGTAACATTTTAAGCTTTAAGCTCCAAGAACAATAGATACTTGATGTTGAGAGAACCAGAAAAAAACAGCAGGTTTTAAGTCTAGTATATAAGTGAACATGAATGCAGAGGTCCCAGACATGAGGTAAATTAGGTTATGAACAGGCAGGTCACAAAAGAAAAGGTCCAATTGGCCAAGAAGTATATGAGAACATATTCAGATTTACTTTAGCAATCAGGGAATCTCAAATTAAAGTCAGACACCATTGAATATAAAAACATGTGTGAGAGTTACTATGTACATTGACTTTAAGGTAGTGATTACCCCTGGGAAAAGTGGGAAGAGAAAGGGTGAAGGTAATGGGCCTTCAACGATATTTATTCTGCAGTGTTTTATTTCTTAAAAAAAAGTCTGAAGAAAATCTGGCAAAACGAATATCTTAAATCCTCTTAAAGAGTATACATAAGTTTCTATTAGGTTTTTAAACTTTTTTGTGTATTTGAATTATTTTAAAAATTGTAAAAACCTAGGAAATTTAAAATATTAGTTTGTCTCAAAAACCATCCTGGAGGATGCTAAGAATTAAATGTTTAACAAATACACTTATTCCCTATAAAGTTATATATGCTCTAGCTATCAAATACAGTCATTCCTGGTTCTTTCAATACCAGATAAGCCTTCTGAAATGTGAGTGCTTAGAAAAATTTTCAAATTGATATTGTGGAAAAAAATGTGTATTTAGAATATTATGAAAGATGAGGCACAGCATACTATTTTAAGCTTTATATAACTTCAGTGAATTGTATATTAAAAACTGTTTAGATTTTCTTACCTGACTCCATTAAATGTTCTTTGCATCTTCAGAGATTAAAAAAGAAGAAATGTAGGAATAAAAGAATACTCTGGATTCCATTAATCATTTGGCAAGCCTTGAATGACACAGGCCACAGTTATGTAAGCAAAGACATTTGCCAAAGAAATAGATTAATTAAGTGATCATTTGCGATTGTTAGTTATTTGGATATAAACTATAGCATAGTCTCAGTGTATAAAACATACTTAAGGGCTTCCCTGGTGGCACAGTGGTTGAGAGTCCGCCTGCCGATGCAGGGGACACGGGTTCGCGCCCCATCCGGGAAGATCCCACATGCCGCGGAGCTGCTGGGCCCGTGAGCCATGGCCGCTGAGCCTGCGCATCCGGAGCCTGTGCTCAGCAGCGGGAGAGGCCACAACAGTGAGAGGCCCGTGTACCGCAAAAAAGAAAAGAAAGAAAAGAAAAAAAACATACTTAAATTAGTAGTTACAAAAGCACTTTGTTTTAGTTATTAGGTTAGGAAAGAAAGTAAGAAAAGAAATCTCACTAATGAAATAGGAGATATCAAATGTCAGTAATTTTTTTTTTTGCCCATTTTCTCATCTTATTTGGGAGAGGGGATAGAGAATGGGAATTTGAATACCTTTATGTGAAGTAGCTACTATCTTATTAAAATTGAAGACTTCTTTAAAATACTGTCTAAAAATGTGATTATAAACACACAAATTCACATTGTAAAAAATTTTTAGAAATACAGATGATTTTACACATTATTCTACCACCAAAAGAACCACAGCTAACATTTCGATATGTTTCCAGTCTTTTTTCCGAAGTATACACCCCCCCACATAAACACACATTTATAGTCTTTTTTATTTTAGATATAGATATATATTAAATATGGACTTTGGTATCAAAGACTTTGAATTTTTATGAGTGATCTTACTAGCACACCCCCCTGCTCTAAACTGTATTGTTAATTGTTGTTAATAGTAACATTTCCCTGGTTGCAATTGTAGAGTTTGTTAGTAAGTTCATGTGAAGAGGACCAACTATTATAAACACGTCTTTAAACAAATAAATGCATTGCCTATACCAACCAAAGAATGTCTTTGTTACTATTACTTTTGGTTTCCTCACTTAGAATTATCTCAAGTAATTGAAATTTAAAATTCATAATATGAAACACTTAATTTCAGTCCACTTCCAGTATATGGCAAGTTCCTGTAGAAGTATTGGCCTGACACTTTTATGTGGTTGTATCAGTGTTCTCTTTTGATAGTGGCATGTTGTGATATCTATAATCAGATTTGATATTTTTCACTGTAAGACATTTTGAACTTTTTCTTACAGGGTTTCTCTGCTGGGCTATTTGCATTCTACCATGATAAAGATGGAAATCCTCTAACTTCAAGATTTGCAGATGGTCTCCCACCTTTTAACTATAGGTATTTGGTTTTTTTTGTTCTTGTTCTTCTCTTTTAGGAGAGTGCTAAGACTAGCAACTGAGAATCATAGCATGTTAAGTTCCATAAATAATAGTGGCTTTATGGCTAGCCTAAGAAGATTGTATGTCCTATCTTATTAAAACAAGATAGGATATAAGGGTGGGATGAATTGGGAGATTAGGATTGACCTGTATACACTACCATGTGTAAAATAGCTAGCTAGTGGGAACCTGCTGTATAGCACAGGGAGGTCAGCTTAGTGCTCTGTGATAACCTAGATGGATGGGATGGGGGTGCAGGGTGGGAGGGAGGTCCAAGAGGGATGGGATATATGTATACACATAGCTGATTCACTTCATTGTACAGCAGAAACTAACACAACATTATAAAACAATTATACTCCAATAAAAAAGAAGAGTTCATTTAGCTTCACCTTTTCATTTTACAGATGAAACAATCGAGATGGAGAAAACTTAAGTGATTTATCCAAAGAGCCAGGACTCTTTGCCAGGCAGAGCTCTTTTCCACCACTCTGTAGCTTGTATTACTTTATAGGAGAGTCAGGCCATGGGAAAATACGGGTTGGTTATAGTTTGGTTTTTTAATAATTATTGCCTGTACATGGCAATATTTACATGTTAACTGGTATTTTATTTAGCACATCATATTAACAGTGACCTAGAGGTTCAGGGCCTAAAAGAAATAATACCAAGAATTACTAAAAAAAAATTATCAAGAATTTTATATAGAATATCAGTCACAGAACTATAACCATTTGCATGCATTTATATAAAAAATAAATCTCTAAATTAAGAGCACATGTCCACAAAAAGACATGTAAATGAATATTCATGGCAGTTTTGTTATTAATAAACAAAAAATGGAAACCACCCAAAGGTCCATCAATAGAAGAATGGATAAATAAATCGTGATATATTTCTGTAACCAAAAACTACAAGGCACTAAAAAGAACACATTACTGCTGCATGCAATAAAGTGTATGAATATCACAGTTACAAGGTTCAATAAAAGAAGTCGTAGTCCAGGGACTTCCCTGGTGGCGCGGTGGTTAAGAATCCACCTGCATGGGCTTCCCTGGTGGCACAGTGGTTGAGAGTCCGCCTGCCGATGCAGGGGACACGGGTTCGTGCCCCGGTCTGGGAAGATCCCACATGCCACGGAGTGGCTAGGCCCGTGAGCCATGGCCGCTGAGCCTGCGCATCCGGAGCCTATGCTCCGCAACGGGAGAGGCCACAACAGTGAGAGGCCCACGTACCAAAAAAAAAAAAAAAAAAAGAATCCACCTGCTAATGCAGGGGACACGGGTTCGATCCCTGGTCTGGGAAGATCCCTCATGCTGCAGAGCAACTAAGCCAGTGTGCCACAACTACTGAGCCTGTGCTCTAAAGCCCGTGAGCCACAACTACTGAGCCCGTGTGCCACAACTACTGAAGCCCGCGCACCTAGAGCCCGTGCTCCACAACAAGAGAAGCCACTGCAGTGAGAAGCCTGCACACCGCAATGACGAGTAGCCCCCACTCGTTGCAACTGGAGAAAGCCCGTGCACAGCAACAAAGACCCAACACAGCCAAAAAAAAAAAAAAGTCATAGTTCAGTTATATGGAATTTAAAAACAGTCAACGATAAAAGACAGATTAGTAGTTTTACTTGAAGCCGCAGGCTATTAAATGCCATACAAGTTGAACAGATTGAGAAGGGGCATAAGGAAACCTTCTCGGGGTGCTGACACTCTTTCATATCTTTATCAGAGTAGTGGTATATGGATGTAGAATACAAAATTAATTCTCACACGAAGATCTCCATTTAGGTAGCTAGAAGTAAATATTAAAACAGATAGTACTTTATTCATCATAGTATTTTTTTAGAGTACATGTGAAGAAACAATTCTAATGTAGAAATACATGTTTTACTTCCTAGATTGTGTTCATTTGGTGGTATGGGAGAAGTCTGGTCTTTCCTAAGAATTGTGGTCTTTATGGGAAACACATAAATAGTGAGATAGGCAGCATCTACACAGTGATGTAGGTAAGGAGGAGAGAGATTACTACACACAGGAACCATTGTTAAGCTGATAATTTGCAGTGCTTTCTTACATTCTGGATATTCCTCAAAAGCAGGAAATCTTACAGTATAAATGGACTAATATAATAATATGAAATTCAGGTGTTAGACATAGAAAGAGTCGGATTTGGCCCTAACCTATTTATTTGGAGAAACCATTAATCTTGAAATGTGAATGATGAAGAGGATATTGAAGTTATTAATGAGGTAAAAACTGATTATTTTCTTGTTGGCTTTGTTCACTATTTATGTTTAAACATTGCCTTGCCATGGGAAAAGGAAAGGAATTAATAATCTTTCTAAGGCATGGGCATAAAAGGCATTTAATCCTTTTACGTTCAACCTATTTGTATCCTTGACTCTGAACTGTGTCTCTTGTAGACATAGTTGGATCATGTTTTTTTTTTAATGCATTCTGCCAGTCAACCCCCTTCTGTTCCCTCTGGCTGCCAGATTGCTGGTTTTCACCATGATTGTGGGCTGTTGGTTTTCAAAGCTGCCACAAAGCTGGAGAGAGGGCTTGGGAAAATGCCACAAAGCTTGCTGTTCTTACTGAGATTCATCCATTTTTCTTAAAGAAGTGCTTCCTGGATTACTACAAGCCTTTGGTTAATTTCCAGAGTTCTGAAAAAGTTCATTTGGCCAATTTTGATACTTTCCCTATTGCTTTCACAAAGTTCAGGGGTCCTTACTCTGCTGCTTTTACTGACATTTGTCTGGAATTTATTTCTGTATATGGAGTAAAATAGGGATTTAACTTTGTTTTTCCTAGTAGGATAAACAGTTTTACAGCACAGTTATTAAGTAAATTATGCTTTCCCACTAACTTAAAATGTCACCTTTTGTTAAGTTTTGTTATGTGCAGTACTAGGATATGTCTCTAGACATGCTTTTGTTTTATCCAGTAAATTTGTTAAGAGCAAGTAATTCATTGTCATCTTAGCCAAAAATTAGCTATTTGAATTGGAGCAAGTTACTTCATCTCTCTAAGCTTCTGTCTCTTTACCTGCAAAATAGTGATGATAATCTCATAAAGTTATTGAAAAGATTAAATTAGAAAATGCTATCAAGTCTTTGCTTGCACTTGGTGTATAGTAAGCTCAAATATTTTAATTTCATATTGATATTTATAAACACTTTTACACTTAAAGTGGTGGTGAATTTGCAAAAAGGACTGTCTTTTTATTCTTTAATTGCAGTCTTGGATTATATCAATGGAGTGATAAAGTAGTTCGAAAAGTGGAGAGATTGTGGGATATTCGAGATAATAAGAGAGTTCCTCACACTGTGTATCTTCTAGTAACACCTCGTGTTGTTGTGAGTATCACTGAACCTAATGTCTCATGAGCCATCTGCTCTTTTCGTTCATTATGGTCCCTTCTTTACTAATCATTATTGTTTAAGATCTAATGATTAAATTTCAAAGCCTGTAGTAGGAAACATAATATAAAGGTGGTACAGTAAAGCTACAGGCCAAGCACAATCTGAGGAAACAGAAATTTGGCCATGACTCTTATGGCTGCATTCTACCCACTGCTTTAAGTTGTGATACCAGTGGTCTGTTGTGATACCTCTTAGGATCCCTGGTACTATATGCATAATTGCTGGTCGTTTCATTTGGAGTCTGTTTTAGTCAGGATTCTCCAGAAAAACAGAACCAACAGGATGTGTTGAGAGAGAAAGAGATAAAGAGATTTATTTTAAGTAATTGGCTGGTCCAAAATCTGATGAGGTAGGCTGGCAACCTGAAGACTCAGGGAACAGTTGTAGTTTGAGTCCAGAAGAAGTCGGCTGGCAAAATTCCTTCTTGTTCAGGGGTAAAGTCAGCCTTTGTTCTATGAAGGCCTTCAACTGAGTGGCCCATTTATGTTACAGAGAGTGATCGGCTTTACTTAAAGCCCACTAATTTAAATGTTAATCTCATCCAAAAACACCTTCACAGAAACATTCAGAATAATGTTTGATCAGTTATCTGTGGCCCAGCCAAGTTGACACATAAAATTAATCATCACACCCTCTTGTTTAATGACAGAAACCTATTCTCCCTTCTCCCCCTTCCTTGACTACACACAGCTCCTTCTGACGTCTGAACTTTTGCACTGCTCTTGGGATATTTCCCATCCCTGGAAATCTCTAACTGAAGGACAGACGAAACCAAATGAACAAAATTGTTTTCTAATGAACAACTTATTTTTCTTACAAAAACTATATCCATAATAAGAGCAGTTTATACCTGCGTTAAAATCATTGTTGACACAACAGTTGCAAATGGCAATCATACCAGTCTATAACTTTTTTGAAATATATGACTTAAAGCCAAAACCTTCAAATAGAGGAAAAAATATTAAGAGAAATAGTAGTTCAATAGGAAAGAAGAGTGTGACAGTATCAAAATATTTAATTATATTAAAAACTATATTTTTAGGGCTTCCCTGGTGGCGCAGTGGTTGAGAGTCCGCCTGCCGATGCAGGGGACACGGGTTTGTGCCCCGGTCTGGGAAGATCCCACTTGCCGTGGAGCGGCTGGGCCCGTGAGCCATGGCCGCTGAGCCTGCACATCGGAGCCTATGCTCCGCAACAGGAGAGGCCACAACAGTGAGAGGCCCGCGTACCGCAAAAAACAAAAACAAACAAACAAAAACTATATTTTTAAAAGACATTCTCTCTTCTCACCAAAGTAATTCTTCAATAACTACTTTATTATATCCAGTGTGGTAAGGAGTTTGCTGTTATGTTGTACTTTTGTAGGGTTTATTTACTTATTTTTTTCTGATTCTTAGGATGAAGCACGAAAACATTTTAACTGTCCAATTCTGGAGGGAATGGAACTTGAAAATCAAGGTGGTATGGGCACTGAGCTCAATCATTGGGAAAAGCGATTATTAGAGGTTAGTTTATTTTAGAATTTTACTAGACATATTTTTTCTTTAATAAAAGAATTCGTACTCAACTTATTCAAACATATAATAGGTTATAAAGTAAAAAAATTTAAAAAGTCCCTTTCCCCTTTAGCTTTCCAGATCCACTTTCCAGATGTAATCACTATTTAAGTTTTTTAAATATCCTTCCAGAAATGTTAGATAGACAGACAGAAACACTGACACACAGTTTTTTTTTAATAGGTTCATACATACATTTATGCAACTTTTTTCATTTAACAATATATCTTAGACATCTTTCCAAGGCAGTATAAGTGCTTCTGCTATCATACAATGTATGCTTTCCTAAGGAACCTCTTTCTTCAAAATCAAACACTAAAAGTAACAAGGATTGTAGGAAACACAAATACCAGGTTATTAACAAAAGCAATAAGTCATAATAAAAGTACTAGCTCAGTCTGAAAAGACATCATATTTCCAATAAATAAACTCCTATATTTACTCTAGTATTTCTTTACCTTAAACAATAGCAAAAGGCAATGGTAGGTAGATGGGAGACTATAAATCTGAATATTGGGGACAAGAGTAAAATGTACAAAGGTAAGAGAACAATGCAACAAACACTTCGAAGACAAAGCCTCTGGCCATACTGAGCCAGTTGGAAGAACATGGAGTGAATGAGCATCATACACAGCACAGCATTCCTCTGTTGCTGTGTTCTGCTGTCTTAGTGTATTTTGGTTTTTTGTTTTTTAATTTTTATTTTATATTGGAACATAGTTGATTAACAATGTTGTATTAGTTTCAGGTGTACAAGCAAAGTGATTAATTTAGCTGCTGTTGCTCCATTGCATAAAACATTAAAATCCAGAGAGGAATCATTATGAACCAACATGATTCCATCTTATACTGATGTCATTCCTTTATTTACTAGTCTCACATGAGCTCATTTACATTACAAAAATACATGCATTAGTAGAATAGACTGTATACATGGATCTACTTACTTTTAAACAGCTACATAATATTATATGAATGTAAAAACAGTCCTTTTTAATGAATAATTATGTTTTAAATTTTTTGTCTTAAAAATGTTGTAATGAGCAATTTATTTATATCTTCAGTGCCTTACAGGAGTGGCATTCCAGTAGGTGTTCTTTGGTTCAACTAAACAGTCAGTCAAACCTATAAGACCTAAACAGGTCACATTCAAAAACCATTAGAAGGATACAAGAAAGAAAGTACAGCATGTCAGCATGTCAGAGTCAGGCATTTCTCTAGTGCTCTACACAGTAGTCTAACGGCTGTCATCCATGCCTCTCTCCCTCTCCCTCCAGCTCAAATACCATAAGCACAAGACCGTAATAGAGGGGTGCAAGAACCAGCCTGGCTTAGAAGTACCATGTCCCAAATAAGAACCAACATCTTTTTTTAACAGTTTCATAGACATAACTTCCAGATGCCTATAAGGGACATACCCATAAGAATCACTGCACACAGAGAAGTCCAAAACTGTGGTTTACCAACAGGTATTCATGTTCATTTATAGTAATCCCAAGTCTAGAGGCATAACAGGTGGTGTTTTTTCCTTAAGTCCTGTTGCCTAGTAACACAGTTGACATTCCACCCTTATTAGGTTTCCAGGGGAGCAGAACTAGAAAGTTAATGCAAGATCACATTTGTTTATATAGAAAAAGGAAGGACAAATCCCTGGAAATGGAATTTCTGGGTCAAAGGGTGTATACGTGTGTGTGTGTGTGTGTGTGTGTGTATTTTTGTTTTAGACGTCTGTTTAAATAATTAAATAGTTGCAGGTTACATACACCATGATCCAAGTTAGCAAAATTATGAAAAGAGTGAAATTAATGCTTGTGCTGACTGTTCTTATCTAGGTGACCACAAAGTAACAGTGATAAAAACTTACGGAAGACATGTACACTTATTTCTCACATGGGAATAAGTTTATTTTCCTTAAGCAGTTTTCTCAAGTGATTCCCTTTAGAAAGCTGTAGATTGTCCAGAAATGAAAATTTACTTAGTTTTCAATAGAAGACTTGAGAGTAGTCATTTTATTAGTTTCATTAACTGCTGCCTTTCCTCTGAAATCAGCTTTGTGTCCTTGAACTATTTTTTTTAAAAGATGATATTAAAGTACTTGAGATGGCCATCCAGCGTTCAACATAAAGGTTAGCAGAATACGGGAATTCCCTGGAGTCCAGTGGTTAGGACTCTGTGCTTTCGCTGCTGATCAAATCATGGGTTTGATCCCTGGTCTGGGAACTTAGATCCTGCAAGCCGTACAGGCGCCCCCCACCCCGCAAAAAAAAAAGGAATAATCAGAGCTTCCCAAAGATAGAATATGCTTCCTTGAGAGACAGTGAAGTCCTTACCATTAGGTGACCTCCTGGTAGGAATTTTATTATACGAATTAAGACACTGGAAAAAAAAAAAAAAAGACATTGGGTAGTTAGTAGACCTTGATATTTTGGTTCCCTCAGGCAACTCCTTTGATCCTATGATTCTGTGATACTTGTTTTGCATATTAATATGTATTTCTGTGATCGCAAAGTATAGGAAGTTGGTTATAAAAGCATTTTCTTTGTAATTCAGGCAAGTATTCCATTCCCCACTCCATTATCTGGGCATCTGTCTCAACCACCCACTTTACTTTGCCTGAATAGTGTAATGTTTTTATAGTATTTCTGTTTCCATATATTTATCTTCATTTTTATCACAGAGTTCTAAATGCTAGTTATCTATCATTACAGGGAAATTGTATACACTGTAGACATTTGAGGCAGAAAGTAGATTTTGCTTTAAGCTTCAGTCTTGTCATCTTAAAGACGACTTATGTATTCCACTATTTTAAGTCAGTATTTTTGTCAGCCCTCACACTTGCAACATTTTAAATATACATCAAAGCACTCACGGAAATTATTGGGACTTGCAAGGAGTCCAGTCTTCTAATTAAAATCTGTTGGTGATTTTCAGAATGAAGCAATGACTGGTTCTCACACCCAGAACCGAGTCCTCTCTCGAATCACTCTGGCGTTAATGGAGGACACTGGGTAAGACAGCTGTGAGAATTTTATATGAATTGTTTGTTAAAATGAAATGAATATTAAGATTACTATTAAGATGAAATAAACATTAGCTTAAGAAAATACTGACATTTTACACTGAAGTAAAATGTACCTATTTTTTAAATTTTGTGCAGTTAGCTATCCATTACCTGTACCAGCTCCATTCATTCATTCAGTAAATGTTTGAGACCCTGAGGTGTATAGTAATGAATAGAAATAAATCCCTGGCATTATGAGATTTTTTAATAAGTAGAGGCCATGCGGATATGAAGGAAAAGCTTACCTAAACAATTTTTTTTAATTGTAAGTGAAATTGGTTTATGTATAGATTCCTGGTTTTTAAGGCAGTAGAACTTTCTTGTAAAGCAATAGAATACTGTTTTTAAATGACTCCGGTGGGAGTCTTTTTTGCTGTGGGTTCCTGGGTTTTTTTTTTTAACAAGTCTCAGTTTTTGATAGCTTCCTTGCTTTTTGGTATAGCAGGATGTACCAGGCTGATCTGCACATACCCTATATCATCCTACATCTGGCATTAGCCAGTCTTCCAAGGAGCACTGGAATGTTCCTTTTGATGGAGAATAGCTTTTAGAAACCACAATCTAGGGACTGTGTTCATTTCTACTGGGTTGTCATTGCTTCTCGTCATTTTCAGTGGACCAAGTAGGGAAATTCTTTTTTTTTTTTTTTTTGCGGTATATGGGCCTCCCACTGTCGTGGCCTCCCCCGCCGCGGGGCACAGGCTCCGGACGCGCGGGCTTAACGGCCACGGCTCACAGGCCCAGCCGCTCCGCGGCATGTGGGATCTTCCCAGACCGGGGTACGAACTCGTGTCCCCTGCATCGGCAGGCGGACTCTCAACCACTGCGCCACCAGGGAAGCCCGGGAAATTCGTAGTTTTGAAAAGAAAAAAAAATGCTGGATTCCTTTTAGTGCCATTATAGCTCTTTCCCATTTATCTCTAACAAGCAATGGCCAACAAAAGTGGTCCTGCTGCTCTGTTCAACAACCTATTTATAGCCCTTCTGTAAATAATGCTAGTTTCTTTAAGATACCAGTAGCATATAAAAGCACTGTGGAGTGTGTGAGTGACTAGTGAAACCATGGCACTGGTGAATTTTAAAGCATTTCTTCCTTTTTCTGATGCAAGAGAAAAATGAGCCAGATGTTTCTAAGTATCTGGCAGCATTTTTAAATTGTAGATATGGAAATTAATTTTCATAAATCCATAAGACTTCAGTGTAGATTAGCTAAGTTTCTTCTCCCAGTAAAAGACATTATCATGTTTCCATCCAGAAACCTGGGAATCATCCTTGACAACTCCCTCTCCCTACCTCTCACATCTAATCAATCATAAATCTTGCTTAATTTTTAGCTCTTCAGTATCCCAGGAGTCTGTCTACTTTTTGGGTCACATTTATCAAGGCCACCATTATCTTTTCCTTGGATTACTATAGTTGCCTTTTTTTAATGTCTCCCTGCATCTCAGGTGGTCCTTTCTACTGCCCAAAGCCCTTCACACATTCTGCAAAATGTTGTTTAGAAGTTTTTTAGGCATGGTGTCTCACACAGTGAGAAATACATCACCACCAAAGTACACACATACATATATAATGGTGAAGAGTAAAGATGTTGACGAGGGTGCCAAAACCATTTAATGGGGAAAGAATAGTTTTTTCAACAAATGGTGTTGGGACAACTGGATATCCATATAGAAAAGAATGAACCCCTACCACACATGATATATAAAAATTAACTCAAAATGGATTGAAGACCTAAATATAAGGCTAAAACTATACAACTCTTAGAAGGAAATATTGGTGTAAATCTTCATGATACTAGATTAGGCAGTGATTTCTTAGATATGACACCAAAAGCACAAGCAACCAAAGAAAAAATAGATAAATTGGACTTCATCAAAATTAAATACTTGTACTTCAAAGGGCACTATCAAGAAAGTGGAAAGAACTCACAAAAGGAGAAAATATTTGCCAATTATCTATCTGATAAGGATCTAGTACCCAGAATATATAAAGAACTCTTACAACTCGAAATAAAAAGACAACTCAATTTAAAAATTGGTGAGGGGGCTTCCCTGGTGGTGCAGTGGTTGAGAGTCCACCTGCTGATGCAGGGGACACGGGTTCGTGCCCCAGTCCGGGAAGATCCCACATGCCGCGGAGCGGCTGGGCCCGTGAGCCATGGCCGCTGAGCCTGCGCGTCTGGAGCCTGTGCTCCACAATGGGAGAGGCCACAACAGTGAGAGGCCTGCGTACAAACAAACAAACAAATAAATAAATAAAATTGGTGAGGGATTTCAATAGATATTTCTCTAAAGATATACAAATGATTAATAAGCACATGAAATGATTCTCAGCATCATTGGGGAAATGCAAATGAAAACCACAGTGCTACGTCACACCCACTAGGATGGCTATAATAAAAAAGACAATGGCAGGGAATTCAGTGGTTAGGACTCCGCGCTTTCACTGCCGAGGGTGCAGGTTCAGTCCCTGGTGAGGGAACTGAGATCCTACAAGCCATGCAGCAAGCCCAAAAAAAGAAAAAAAAAAAAAAAAAAAAAAAAAAAAAAGACAATGGCAAATATTGATGTGGGAAAATTGGAACCCTCATACACTGCTGATGGGAATGTAAAATGATACAGCCACTTTGGAAAATAGTTTGGCATTGATTTACAAAACCAGACATACTCATACCATAGCAACCCAGCAATTATGCTACTTGGTATTTAATCAAATGGATTAAAAACTTAGGCCTACAAGAAAACCTCTATACAGAGGTTTATAGCAGCTTTATTCATAATTGCCAAAACGTGGAAGCAACCAAGTTGTCCTTCAGTATGTGAATGGATAAATAAATTGTGGTACATCCAGACAATGGAATATTATTCAGAGCTAAAAAGAAATGAGCTGTCAAGCCATAAAAGGACATGAAGGAACCTTAAATGCATATTGCTAAGTGAAAGAAGCCAATCTGAAAAGGCTACATACTGTATGATTCCAACTATATGACATCCTGGAAAAGGGAAAACTATGGAGAGAGTAAAAAGATCAGTGTTTGCCAGGGGTTAAGGGAAAGGAGGGATGAACAAGCAGACCACAGAGGGTTTTAAGGGCAATGAAATTATTCTGTATGATACTGTACAGAATAATGATGGCTACATGTCATTATATATTTGTCCAAACTCATTGAATGTACAACACCAACAGTAAACCCTAATATAAACTATGGATTTTAGGTGATGATGACGTGTCAATGTAGGTTTATTGATTGTAACAAATGTAGCACTCTGTTGCAGTATATTGATAGTAGGGGGAGGGTATGTGTGTTGCAGGGCAGGGGGTGTATGGGAACTCTGTACTAGCCATTCAGTTTTGCTGTGTACCTAAAACTGCTCTAAAAATGTTTAAAAAAAGGAATGAAGTACTAATACATGCTACGAGACGTATGAACCTTGAAAATATTATGCCAAGTGAAAGAAGCGAGACGCAAAGGACCACACTCCATTTCTATGAAAGGTCCACGATACGCTAACCTACAAAGACAGGCAATAGACTAGTGGTTGCCAGGGACTAAGGAGTGACTGCTAATGGGTACATAGTTTTTTGGGGGGTGATGAAAATGTTCTGAAATTAGATCGTGGTAATGGTTGCACAACCTTGTGAATATACTAAAAACATTGAATTGTACACATTATGAGGGTAAGTTTTATGATATGTGAATTATATTTCCATTTTTTTTAAAAGCTCAAAAACATTGAAGCCAGAACCCTAGATTCAAATCTCAGCTCTGCCATTTACTAGTTGTATCCTTGCCTCAGTTCTTTCCTCTATAAAATAGGGATAAAAAGTGATATCTACCTCATACAGTTTTATGAGCCTTGAATGAGTTGATACATGTAAACTCCTTAATAGAGTACTTGGCACATTGTAAGGGCCAATTAAGTATTAGCTATTACATGTAAAACTGAATCATTCGGGACTTCCCTGGTGGCACAGTGGTTGAGAATCTGCCTGCCAATGCAGGGGACATGGGTTCAATCCCTGGTCCGGGAAGATCCCACATGCCGCAGAGCAACTAAGCCTGTGCGCCACAACTAGCGCTCTAGAGCTCGTGAGCCACAGCTACTGAGCCCGCAGGCCACAACTACTGAAGCCCGCACGCCACAACTACTGAAGCCCGCGCGCCTAGAGCCCGTGCTCCACAACAAGAGAAGCCACTGCCGTGAGAAGTCCTCACACCACGATGAAGAGTAGCCCCCACTCACCACAACTAGAGAAAGCCCGCGCGTAGCAAGAAAGACCCAGTGCAGCCTAAAATTAATTAATTAAAAACAACTGAATCATTCAAAGTTTCACGAAACAATATTTACCCTTACTATCTACAATGTAGTCCTCTTTTCTATTGATTTTATTTTTTAATCTTTTATTTTAATATGTAATTTTTTTTACAGATGTATTCTATTGATTTTAAAAGAGAGAGAGAAAGAAACGTTGATTAAGATCCACTAAATTGATTTCACAACCCACTAATGCCACCAAGAAATCTTGTTTCTAATTGCTCCCTCAGCTAACTTGTGCTCACCCTTCTAGGTTTAGCTTAAAGTTGCTTCCTCAGAAAAACCTTTCCTAATTCCCCAGACTAGCTTAGGTTTCCCTATCAGTGTGCTCCTATTATCACCTTGTACTTAACCCCTGTCCTACTTATCACACTTGTAATTTTCTTTTTGTTATCTGCCTTCCCCACTAGATTATATTGTTCACAAGGGCAGAAAGTGTTTATTCACTGCTGTAGCCTTAGCTACACTTAGCAAAGTGCCTAGCACATAAGAAGTGCTTAATAACTGTTGACTAATAGTACAGGAAGAACTGCAAAGAAAACATGAAGGAGGTTTCGAGAAATGTAGCTGGAGTGCCTAGCAGATGATTTAATGACAGTGTTGATACTATGCTTTGCACTCATCAACCTATACTAGATATGGTAATTCCTAAGGGAATCTAATTACATTATATTTTATCCTTTGGGAGAAGGACTTCCTTACCTAGGCACTGCTAAAATACTTGCTAGTGTGCAAGATTGAGGGCACCTGTTACCATCCGAGCAGCTTGACCTGCTGTGATACCAAGTTAGCTAATTAAGGTGACTTACACTGTAGCTGCAAAGGTTTCAGGCATTTTGGTATTGGAGTGCCAGGCTTTATTTCTTCAGTTTCTCTCTCAGTGTTCTGTTCTTTGAAAGGGGAGAAGGTTTTGAAAGATGCTATGTTACATATTTCTGCTGTTGTTAGATTTTGTGGGAAGTGCTAGAGTGGAGGGGATGATTCTTATCATTCCCTCAACTTTTGAGCCTGTGTATTTATTACTGTTTTGGTAATTCTAAGGGGAGAAGATATAATACAAGCATGAAAGAAGCTATTTTGTATAGCTTTATAACTTGTAAACTAATCTTGTCATTAAGAATAAAGAAGAAAAACTAAAAGTAGGTTCATTGCCTTTGATTAATTTTGCCAGGAAAGTATCGATAAATCACTGTGGTTTTTCTCTGAAATTGGAACATTTTTAATGTATTGGCCATAGTATTCATTTGTCTTATTATAATGGTGTAATGTTTAGTCACAAGCAGGAGCCATATTGATAGAATATCACAAATTCAAGGCCAGGGAAGCAAGAAACTAGGGCCAACTGGATCAGATTAGGTAAAGGCTAGACAACTAGTAATTCTACTTTTCTTCTTCAGTTTACTCCCTTCTCTTTTTCTCTCATTCTCTTTGTTTCTTTGCCCTTTATTCTCCTTGTCTCACACCTTAATCATTTTCTCCTCTGTGACTTATATCATCTTTGAAAATTACAATGGGAACACGGTTTGGTTCCTCAAGACTAAAATTTCACAGTCCCTGCTGCAGTGATCCTGTGCAGCAAGGACTTTGTTTGTAAATGCTCATCTGTGGGGATGGTCACCAAAGTCCTTTTTGAGGTTCTAGTTTGCTCATTGTTGAGATTTGTAATTGGTATGCTGGAGTTGTTTTTTAAATGACAGTAATATAAAGTGCTTTGTTTCAATTATTTCCACAGCTGGTATAAAGCTAATTACAGCATGGCTGAGAAGTTAGACTGGGGCCGAGGATTGGGCTGTGACTTTGTCAGGAGGAGCTGTAAATTCTGGATTGATCAGCAGAGACAAAAGTAAGGATGCATTTCCTCCTAATGTCTTTGATGACACAGTTTATTCCTGATTTTGTTCTCTATCCAGAGCCTATAGTGTCCCTATTTTCAAAATGTGGTCTAAACAGTTCAATTTCAAAATGTGTAGAAAACCATCTACAGTTCTTTATGATAATATCATAATAAGTAGCCACAGTATTGTTTTAAAGCATATACCAAAAGAATCTACAGTGTGAGCACCAGAGCCATAAAACATTTCTGTTTACCTTGTAATTCATAAATATATATATTGCAAAATTTTGCATACTCTAGCATTCTTATTTGTTTTCTTCAGAGAATGCACTCATAAACATAGATGCAACTATTGATTCAGTATCAAAAACATAAAGCAACATTTGAATAGTGGTTCTCTAATCTGGATCCATCTCATAATTACCTAGCAAGCTTTTTAAAAAATACAGTCTCCAATTTTGGGGGAAACGCACACACACACACACACTCATTTATTTACAAATGTATATATTTTTAAACTTTTTGAGGTAATTGTAGATTCATATACAGTTGTAGAAAAAATAGAGATCTCATGTGTACTTTATCCAGTTTCCTTGATTGGTAACATCTTGCAAAACTGTAGTACATATCACACCCAGGATATTGACATTGATACAGTCAGATACAAAATATTTGGATCACCACAGGGATCCCTCCTATTGACCTTTTGTAACCATACCCACTTCCCTCCCACCCCTGGAAACTACTGATCCGTTCTGCATTTCTGTAATTTTGTCATTTCAAGTATGTTATATAAATGGACTCATAACAGTATATACCCTTTTAGGATTGGCTTTTTTCACTCAGCATAATTTTCTGAGGATTCACCCAGTTGTTGTGTATATCAAAACTTTGCTCATTTTTATGGCAGAATAATATTCCATGATATGGATATACCACAGTTTGTTTAACCATTCACATGTTGACATCTGGGTTGTATCTAGTTTTTGGCTATTGTGAATAAAGCTGATATAAACTTTTGTGTACAGGATTTTGTGTGAACATAAATCTTCATTTTTCTAGAATAAGTGCCTAGGAGTGCAATCACTGTGTAATACAGTAGTTGCAAGTTTAGTGCTGTAAGAAACTGCCAAACTCTTTTCCAGAATGGCTATACCATTTTATATTCCAACCAACGATGTATGAGGAATAACAGTTTCTCCACATGCTCACCAGCATTTGGCATTGTCTTTTTTTTTTAAACATCTTTATTGGAGTATAATTGCTTTACAATGTTGTGTTAGTTTCTGCTGTATAACAAAGTGAATCAGCTATATGTATACGTATATCCGCATATCCCCTTCCTCTTGCATCTCCCTCCCACCCTCCTTATCCCACCCCTCTAGGTGGTCACAAAGCACCGAGCTGATCTCCCTGTGCTATGCGGCTGCTTCCCACTAGCTATCTACCTTACATTTGGTAGTGTATATATGTCCATGCCTCTCTCGCGCTTTGTCACAGCTTACCCTTCCCCCTCCCCATGTCCTCAAGTCCATTCTCTATGTCTGTGTCTTTATTCCTGTCCTGCCCCTAGGTTCTTCAGAACCATTTTTTTTTTAAATTCCATATATATGTATTAGCATACGGTATTAGTTTTTCTCTTTCTGACTCACTCTGTATGACAGACTCTAGGTCCGTCCACCTCACTACAAATAACTCAATTTTGTTTCTTTTTATGGCTTGAGTAATATTCCATTATATATATATGTGCCACATCTTCTTTATCCATTCACCTGTTGATGGACACTTGGGTTGCTTCCATGTCCTGGCTATTGTAAATAGAGCTGCAGTGAACATTGTGGTACATGACTCTTTTTGAATTATGCTTTTCTCAGGGTATATGCCCAGTAGTGGGTTTTCTAGGACATTTGGTAGTTCTATTTTTAGTTTTTTGAGGACCTCCATATTGTTCTCCATAGTGGCTGTATCAATTTACATTCCCACCAAGAGTGCAAGAGTGTTCCCTTTTCTCCACACCCTCTCCAGCATTTATTGTTTGTAGATTTTTTGATGATGGCCGTTCTGACTGGTGTGAGGTGATACCTCATTGTAGTTTTGATTTGCATTTCTCTAACGATTAGTGATGTGGAGCATCCTTTCATGTGTTTGTTGGCAATCTATATATCTTCTTTGGAGAAATGTCTATTTAGGTCTTCTGCCCATTTTTGGATTGGGCAGAAGA